GCTTCAAAACCCATATCGTCAATACCTTCAGCCACGCTCGCTCCAGTCCAAAGTGAAGGGTCAAAGACGACAACACCTGTGAATGCTTCTACTGAGAGTGTTGAAAAGAGCAGAGACGAAAGGAAAAATCACCTTCAGCATCTTCAAGTGAAACCTTGCAAGAACGAATACCGGGGCGATTTTTCATGTTGTCCTGAATGTTGTTCACACAAGCATGACAAGTCATGCCTCTGGAAATGAACGCCTTTGTCGTTCCTATTAGCCTAATCACCCAAATAACTTACTTTATACTGATGACAGCAGTTTGTGGAGCTCCCTTCATTTCATCGTTTGCTTTTCCAGTGGAGCTACGTGATGGAGATGGTGACGAATCTCTGAAAGCTGCCACTACGTAATCACATTCATTGTCAGGCTAAGAAGTGGTCTTATTTTTCTGACTAAATGAGCAGAATTTGTCTTATTTGCTGCTTTAACCCTGTAAATATCAAACGAGCGTAAAATATCAGGCTCCGAAGCAGGTGGAGTCTCTCCAAGCATAACACTCCCAACTTTCACGACAGCTGAGATTCAGATTGCTGCCCCTCCCTTTAAAAAACCCTCGCGACAAATTCTGATGAAATCGTCAAAAACAAAGCACTGAAGACTCTTCGTCATCTATTAAACAATATCGAAGAGTCTTCGGATTTCACGATAAGAAAATCTGCCCCACACCCTTCCCTTTCACCACGGAATCTACACATATGCAAACCAACATATTTCAATATATTTCAACATATTTTGCGCGCCCTCTCAGTGCAGGAACCAGATGACTGTTAGCTGTTTTATGGGTACTCACGTTATCGGAGAATGCGGCTGTAGGAATGAGGCAAAACGTGATTTGGGAGCAGCTTATATAGTAACCCTGTAGAAAGAATGCCGGAATACGCCAAAAAACGAATGAACGATCAAGCCGGGATATCCGAACGGTTAGGGGAATAGGCCCATGACTGCACTCACGAAAACCATCATGTCCGATCGCTGACGAGACAAAAGCCATGCCGGGCAAGAATTGCAAAATAAATAATATGGGTACTTGCGCTACTCCCAGGTTGACAGACGAGCTGATTAAGAACCTTAGCACAACAACTATGATAAGTCTCTGCAGGAAACAATGCAATGGCTAGGGCGTCACATGAAAGGGGAACACAGGAACCCCGCCTAAATTCTGTGGACAAAGTGCGAGGGTGATCGCGGAGTGAACGACTTCAGCCGAAGAAGTTAGTTAGATTGGGGCTCTGAACGTGAGGTCGCTTACTGGGATCCCGAAAGGCTTCTGATCTAATGACGCGCAGAAACCCAAGGTCCTACGTATTTGGAAGAAGCGTTGGTATGGAACAAAGGGTAGAGAAATCGGAGTGGCTGTCAAGCTCCACTAAAACGAAGAAGACGTCGAGAGAAATGGGATGAAGTGGTCATAGCACTGGCGGACCCTTCAAATATCTCGCATCAACGGGATCAGCGGTCGAACTATGGCTGTAAG